GAGTCGGCCCTTCAATTCGAGCACCGCGACCTGCACTGGCTCAACGTCCTGGTGAAACCTACAAAACAGGAAAAGCTGCGCTATCGCGTGGGCGGCGTCAGCTATGCCGTACAAACTGAAGGTATCCACGTGTGCATCATTGATTTCACTGTATCCCGTCTCTGTCATGGTGAGTTAGCGTTTGCGTATGGTTTATTTTATTCCTTATTGCCTGATGCAGGCCTTTTGTCACAGCTAAGCCGTGGGCCTCATACCATCAGTGCCCTTTTGATCAAGTTGACTGTTATCGCGATGGGACAACGATATAAATTGTCAATACAGGATAGTATGTATTTCTCGGGCGCCCTCTTCCTCACACGCTGGATATACACAGGCTCTTTAACTAATGAACCGTAACTGGTAATTAACTTAAGTTCACAGTCTAAGCATCTGGGTTTGCTTTTTAGCGTTGCTTATTATTAGTTAATTCTCAGCTATATTTTTTGATTCTCATCTTCTCTCAAAGAATTTCTCTTTTGTTATTTTCTTCTTTTTCTAGGAAGTTTTTGGGGCAGTTTGTTCTAAATTGGCTATCAGACAGCTCGTTGCACTAGGCCATTTTTTCCTAAAAATGTTGCTGCCTTATGTTGAAGATTTACCGCCTTCATCATATGTACTGTATAATCTTTATATGACTTCGAAGAATCTTCATTCCGTTATCCACTATATACGTGGACCCTTGAATCATCTTAAAGTTTTCCTATTGTTGTTGTTTTTATCTTAAAGGACTTTCTGTGTTTTTTGATCAATCTCTAAAGCGTATGTGTTTTACTCCTGCCCAGAGGGTAATATTGTCTACGTGGACATGTCTAAGTCGCCCGAGGTATTCGAATGTGAAGGCGACTATCAGTTCGACATCTACCGCATGATGCGAGACATGAACGGGTTAGTTTTTTCCTTTTTAATGCAGTTTTTCTTGTCCATTCGGTATGTCCTTGAAATAAGTTTTTTTAGTGGGCAATTGAACAAGAAGGCCGCAGGTGTCTTTAGCGCTAGTGTCGTAGAACCAAAACGAGATTTTCAAAAGCATGCATTTTACAAGACTTCCGAAAAAGGAGCGCTTTTAATTTCACTTCCTTTCTTAAGTTCTTGGGTCGCTTCTTTGGAAATTTTCAGAAGCTTTCTCCTTTGTAATAGGCGTTTGATGTGTTGTTTTTTTTAACAGCCGTCCATCACGGATCTGATTATCCATAAGTTGATCATTGCTTTGCAACGTCTATTTTTTGCTTCCTATCCTGAAGCGCATAGTGGATGAACAACGCACCTCTTAGATTCACTGAATCTCCTTTTTCTGCTTTAGGTCAAGTAGCACATAAGTTGTATGCCAGGGGTGTATTTTTCTGCCTGTGTTTTCATCGCAGCTTACATTCTCTGTAAAGTGACCCCACTACGCAAAGTTTGCCTTTGGAGTTTAAATAATCTAGGCTAGACTGCAGCTGTCGAAAGATCCGAATACACTTTTGTCACAGGTCGAGAGGGGGGTGGGTATCGCTGGCATACAGTAGGATTAAGTGCGCTTCTCCCACCTGCCTCCCTGTAGACTATCAAGAATGTGCTACAACTGTTCGTTCATTTTAACTGAACTCGTACAACTGTTTAACCTATACGTGTACATGTCTATCTGCTGCTCCCCA